AATGGACTAGCAATATTATCATTTTTAACACCTGTACATTTTGTACATTTTTTGCTTTAAAAAATCTAAATTTTCAATATTCCATGGGTATATTAGGGTCTAAATTATAAAATATATAAATGAGGTCTAAATTATAAAAAATGCATTTTTTCGCGAAAACTTGTGCATCTGATTCTTGTAAAATATACAGTTCTATATATCGATATAATATGTTCCATTATTAACCAAGTTATTGACGTTAAAAACTAGTAATAATTTAATATACATTTTTAGACACGTTCTATGTATAAGGTGGTATAATTTTTATTATTCCAACACAAAATTTAGTAAGTAGAAAAACTTTAGTACAATATTTGGTTTTAAAAATACGCCTAGAAAAATAAAGCATGAAAATTATTATTACTGCATTTTTACAAAATCGTAAATATTTGAAAAACTGTAAGATTAAAGTAAGAATTTAATTTACCTTTATTTTAGTCATAGAAACTAAAATATAGAGGATGTTCCATTTAAATTTCTAAAAATCTAATAATTTTGCTACAGTACTCCGTGTCGAATGAGTTGAATAACCCTGTATATTACTTAAAACTTCTAACTCAAAAATTTATACAATGACTGAAGTTTACTATTACTAATATAAAAAATAGAATAGTTATTGATTATTATAAATTAATGATAAGTAGGATATTATAGATATATAGCTTATAGAATTCAATCGACAATTTTATTTTTAAAACCTATATCAAATATCACTTTATAACATTCGATATAGGTGTAAGAATGTTATAGACGGCTTTATGTAATTTTTCAAAAGCATATCAAAGTGCGTCACACAATATTCAAGTTATCCGATGCTAACGAATGATGACGCAAACGCTTTCAAGCGTAAATCATTTTTGAAAAGCGGAAACTAAACGAATCGCTAGTTAAACTAAACCAATAAATTTTTCGCCAGTCAATAGCTGTTCGAGAAATATGACGCATTATCTTCATATGCAGTGACAGAGAGTGTTTTTGAAATTAATCGCTGCGTTTATAATCTTTGTCGATATTTTTTTATTTTGCAAATGGGAACATAAATTATCGATCAACAGATTTACAGACAGTTACAAACTGAAAAATGTAATTATTGTCATGTATTTACTCCGTTAGTAGCATTTATGAGTTTTTCGGTAAACAAATCGGTATTTGAGCTGAAAAAAAAACTAAATTTTTCATATTTCGATAATACCCCATACTACAATAGGTTCAATGTACGATATTAAAATCTAATGTACAAGATAAAGGAAAGATATTATGTAGTTTTTTATTGTTCAAGAACCTGTTCAATAATTTAATTATTGTAATTAAATTTAAATATGCAAATTTTATTTCATCTCATATTAAATTAAGTTATAATGTTTTATCAATATCAATTGAAGGCTTCCCTCGAATAAGGGGCTATGTTACAAAAGTAAGTTTTAAGTAAATGAAGAAAAACGACTTTCTACGGTTTGCGTATTCATAATCATATTCAAGTGGTACTAACATCAACATTATTAATCTCCAGATATAAAAAGTTGTACAACACAAATAATAATAAACCAGTATTAGAGATATACATATGTAATAAACTCTTGAGTCCCGTACAATAAGGGTTTATGTGAAATGCAACATAAACCCTTATTGCAGGTAACCAATTTAGATTGCATTTTTTTTGTGTACAAGTTGTACATTTGTTAACCGTTTGTTTTTAATACACCTCCATTCAGTTACATTTATTTTTCGTATTTGACCTTTATTTAATGTTTTGCAAAGCGGTGGCGTGACTTGAACGTTCGACATATTTACGATATTGAATAAAATGTGACAACATATATACCCTTATTCCATGCTAGAAAAGATGGTTCCGCATGTTGTTCATAGTTTACGGCACATTAATATCGGGTATTTATTACTGTAAAAGGATGAACTTGTCTACATAGACCCTTTTTGTGCAAAAATCCCAATATCTGAAAAATGCAACATAAACCCTTATTCGAGGGAATGCTTCAAGTATATACATATACCGTGTGCGCCTCAAAAATAGCTCTACCCTATAACTTTTTACTTTTTTCAGATAAGACATAAATTAGGATTCATTGTATTCAATTACAATTTATTGTATTTAATTGTTTTTGGTCACTTCCTGTTCCACCGGAAATGACTACAACTTTTGATTTTTAAACGGCCCCAAGTATTTTTCTACTTTATTCTATAGAAAATGAAAAATCGTATTTTAAATTTCAATCTAGATTGCTATGGCTGTGTTATAAACATTAATTTCCCGCAGGGAGATTCCTCATATGAAAAGAAGATTTATTTCTCATATCAACATAGGTCCGATTCTGCGTTGTTTCGTAGCTACAGGGTGTTAAAATCTTAATAAATTTTTCGATTAATTATAATTCTCTTCCAAGTGCTTTTAGCGTTTTGAATTAAAAAAATTTTGTGGGTAAGACTTACTATAACTGCAACATATTTTAAAGTTAAGAAGTGTCGACATATTCACCAGGGACGTGCATATGGGTTATCACTGGAATATTTTTCTAAAAAAGGCATGTACGCCACTGACTTTTTTTTCTCTTGTTAGCGAAATAGTGCAAGCAGTTTAATGCCGATTAAAAGTTGTCTCTTGATATTTTGTCGATTTCGGCGTCGTTGGTGAGATAAACGAAATTTTATTAATTTGCCTTGATCCAAGTCTAATAGCATCTTTCAAAAAATTTTAATATCAATAACTTGCGAAAATTCTAAATAAGCACACTTTGATTCCCCATCAAAAAATATGCAAAAAAGTTCCTATAAACATGGATATGGAAATGCATAGTTTTAGTGTTACAGAATGTTAAAATTTTAAAATTAGGGTTTTTGTAATTATCCGAGAAATTATCTTAAATACCATTATTTTTTGATTTGAAATTACTGTAGGTTAGACTAATAGTAATAATAACTAATAGTAATAATATTTAATAATAAATTAGTAACAATATATAATTTGTTAATTTTATTTTTATTTTAATTTTATCAATTATTGTGATTAATAAAATTGAGTTTATCTCATCAAGGAGGCCGAATTCGACAAAATATCAAAACATAACTTTTAATTGGCATTAAACGGCACACACAATTTTGATATCAAAAGAATAAAAGTCAGTGGCGCACATGTTTTTTTTTGAAAAATATTCCAGTGATAACCTATATGCACTAAAAAACTACATGCATTAAAATATGTGGTAATAATACTTATATTAATTTTTAACCTCAAAATGTCATTCGAATCACTAAAAGTACTTGGAAGAAAACTATAATAAATAGAAAAAATATTAAAACTTTAACATCCTGTAGCTACGAAACAAAGCAGAATCGGACCTATGTTGATAAGAAAAATAAATATTATTTTTACGTGAGAAATCTCCCCACGAGAGATGGCACATGTTTCTAGAAACACCCTGTATACGTATTTATATATTAAATACCTATAAATTATAATTTCTCACTTGGTGTTATTTCTTGTTATTAGATTATTTTTTAAGATATATATATTTTTCAATACTAATTACTACAATAAATTAGTGTAATATGGCATGATTTTTTAAAGCTGCATTGTCACGCACAGTCTTTAATGGAAAGTTGTGGTTATAAACTTACTTTATAACATTTATTCCTTATCAGTTTGCACATTTATTCCTTATCAGAGCTTGCAAAAAAAACGCGATTTTGTTGGTATCTTAAAAATTAATTTTAAGTGTTTTTACATTAAAATACCAAAATATTTCAATTACATAATTTTTCTTTATATACATAATATAAAGTATACCAAATTATGGTCATTTAGTTTATACATCGTATTTCTCAAAAGTGGCACAACCCTATAACTTTTCCATTTTTTCAGAAAAAAAAATTGGTACATTAGTTTAATGACATAAATCAGGATTGATTGATGTATTCAATTGTTTTCGATCACTTCTTATTTCACCGAAAATGATACAGTTCTTAATTTTTAAATGGCACCTTTGGTATTTTTTTAGTTTGTTTCATAGGAAATAACACTTTGATTAGAACGACATATCATATGCCAACTTTTTACATTCTCGCTTAGAAAACGTATTTTAAATTTTTATGTTCTGGCTGTGAAACACTAATTTTTAATCAAGGTGCATTGGAAAAATACATTTGATTGCCTAATGTTTTTCGTGTTTTGCCCTCGCCGACTAAAATATGCTAAAATCGTATTTTTAATCATAACTCAATTATTATAGTTACTAAAAATTCTACACAGGCGAAATGACCCTAGATGTCGAAATCTCAAAAAATAAGCTTAATTAAAAGTACCTCAATTCCATAATAGTTACACACATCATGTTATCGTTGAATCTGTGTGAACATTTTAAAATTCAATTTTTTAAAAGGCATGCCATAAATTTACTTTTATTTTTTCTATGTAGTTCCTTATACTTAGCTGTTACTTATATTAAGATTTGTGCACTTGCCTGTTTCTGTTTTAGTCATATTATTATACACATACCTATTTGTTTCTTCTTCTAGAAAATTTCTTTTGTTATTGTAAAAACTGTTATTATTTTTTTTTCTGCGCAGGCGACAATGCCCCAGATGTTGTGAAAACTTCAAAAAGCCATATTAAAAGTACCTCAATTTCATAATAGTTACAAACATCACGTTATCGTTAGTTTTGTGTGAACATTTTAAAATTATTTTTTTAAAGGTCATGCCATAAATTTTTGGGTACCCTGATATTCGTGAACTAATTTAACTATTGATGTTTTTATCACAAATAATGATGGTACTTGTTTCTAACTTAAGTTGTTATTTAGATATTATATAGTTCATAACCAATCATAACATTAAAATAAAATCATACGATCTAATAATTAATTTTGAATAGAATAAATATTTTTAATATTTTCATACAATTTTTCTCTTAATAAGAAATTAAAATTGCTATTTTTTCTCTGTTTCAGATAAAGGTCCAAGTCCCTCGCCTTAAAAGCACTATATATTCAAACCCAACGCCGTCTAGACAACATCGTTTTCATCCAAAACTTTGTGTCCAACACCACCAGCCACATTTTCACATTTACCACCATCACCACCTTCTTTCCTTCGTCTTCACATAGAGAGAGAGAGCATCGCACTTGAAATTCTCGACGTACCGTTGAAGAAACTACACAGTGAGCGTGAAAAAAAAGCAGCAAAGAACATAAAGGCGATGTTCTAAACGCGACTGGTCCATTTCAGTCGGAAAATTTAATTACGCGGCTTAAAGCCGCATTTACATGAAGAGAGCCGAAGGCGGCGGGAATAATAGCGAGGCTGTGCCGCCTCGCGTCTGAAGGTTTTTATGTGTTAATGTGGCTTAGGAGAACGGTTTCTAGCGAGAGTGTGACGTAGTGTAGACAAAAAGAAGATGGTGGATTTTTTAACGATGCCGCTGTATTATCTGCTTGTCTTCGCATTTTTAAAAGGTGAGTGCTTTCATTATTTTATTAAGATATTGTAAGTATAATAATTATATTTTGAAATAAAATATTTAAAATGTTGTTAATCACTTTATCTACGTCAGTGAGTTAGGAGCTCTTAACTCACGCATTTTTATTACCGCACTTTTTGTTTAGATGACTACCAAAGAGAAAAAAATATTTTGTAAAACATTTATTTTGCACTAAATACCTACTAAATACAAATAAACTGTTCTATTGATAATAATGATAAAAACATGAAAACCAAACTTATTTATTATAAATGTTAATGATACAGTTAGAACACTCCTTCAAGTAAATACCTGATGAAGCATATATATATATATATATATATATATATTCATTTAAATAGATATCATAGTACGTATCATTGAATAGAAAGCCCGAAGAGACGAAGGCTTATTAGTAGCGGATAAATTGGAAAAATATGTTATGAGTACCTTTTCATTTCCTTTTCATTTATACTTCTGTTTCGATCTTGCTGGAAGCAATCCAGAAATGGTTCTGAATGCCTCTTCTTCAATGTCAGAGGGAATACTTTCCGAATCAATTGTCATATTGACATTGCCATTGCTTCCGAATCGAAAAGTCATATTGACATTGCCATGCATGGTGTTATTTAAACAAGGGTATTAAGGTGATTGATTTTTAGGATAGGTATATAGTTAAATACAATAATTTATAAAATTCATTGTGTGTTTTTATAGTTAGACGGTTACACAACCCGTGCTATGCACTCGTGCAACTTTCACACGCGTATCTTAATGATGCTGTTAACTCACTTGTATCGTAAATATCTATAATAATCTTGTACGCGTATTTTCTTTAGAACAAGGGAAAGCTTATTTTAATTTTGCTGATTTACTCAACTGCGACATTTCAGGGAGTCATATTGTGACAAGTTGTTACCAAATCTAAATAACAATGCGAGAGTTTATATAAAAATTATACAAGCAAATTAATTAACTTTTTTTTTCTGTTACCAGTAATTTTGATTAAATATTACCTGTGATTGGAGGTGATAGCGGAGATGATAGATATAGCGATAATAGTAGACTAACATCACTCTTTGGTTCTATTAAAGCTTCATTTGCTGACAGAGCTAAACTAAATATCTTCAAAGAAGTCCAATGGGTATTTCGCCACTTTTACCGTAAGAAAATCTACGAAATATAATAGTTGTTTTTCGTAAACACTGCCGTAATCCCACGGAGGCTAGCTTGTCAGCAGTGATTTACTAATAAACAAATTTAACTAAAGGACAAAAAATGCTTGACGGGAAGTATATCTCTTACCGTCGTTCATCAGTTTTAATAAACATAACATAAGTGAAAATTAAAAACAGATTAAAAAATAAAACCATACAGAAAGTTTGATGTTTTTTGGTGTTATCTCATTAATTAATTAAGGTGTGCAAGGGGTATTGAAGCGATACATATAGCCTAGCTTACCTAAAAGTCCTATCAACCTCACCACGTGGTGCACTCTGTTTACACAAACGAGGCTCTGACGTCCGAGTATAGGCGGCATAACTTTATACAACCCTCAGACCTACCATCTTTCTGGGGAAGAGGAGTGGTAAACTACACCAGCCGGCCAAGAATGTAGCACAAGGGAACTATCGTCGCGGTCCTTACTGTGCCATAGCCATCCCGTGCTACATTTGCAGCCAAAGCTGTGCGGGAGCGTAACCGCCACAGTTAAACCTTTTTAGGCAGCTAACACACATCAATGATGGAACATTTGGATGGGACAAAATCATCGTCTGGAGGTAAAATAATGATGGAACATTCGAGTGGGGCAAAATCATCGTCTGGAGGTAAAATACCCCCTCAATCGGATCTCCGGGAGGGGTACCTACTCAAGCGTAACATCGGAGAAACAAAAATCATAAATGCTTTACGTTTGCGGCGTGGAACGTCCGCACTCTACTGGACAAGATAAATTCAACTGGACCTTAGAGAAGAACAGCACTGGTCTCACAAGGACTCCACCTATTAAATATAGATGTGGCCGCTCTTAGCGAAACCCGTTTTGCGGATGAACGTAGTCTCACTGAGGAGTATTATACCTTCTTATGGAAGGGTCACCCCGCAACACCCAGGAGAATCTATGGCGTAGGCATTGCAATCAAAAACGAAATCGCCACCAAATTAACAGAAGTACCTATTGGTGTCTCCGAGCGTCTTATAACCCTAAGGTACCCCATATCAGACAAAACTTACGTCAACATCATTAGTGCCTACGCTTCCACTCTAGGCGCTAAAAAAATTTATCTCATTAATTAATTGTTATCAGGTAGTAATTGTTAATCTGTAACTGTTGAAAAAAACTAACGTGTTCGTGAATAGTTGTTATATTTAGATATTTTAAATAGTTTTTTCTTTGTTCTTTGTGTTTTTCTGCTTCCGACGCGACGACGGGAAAAGAAATTTACATCCTTACTTACACCGAAACGTTAAGAATTTTTTTGCCCTTAGCCAAATTTCTTTATTAGTAAATCACTGCTGACCAGCTGATCTCCGTTGGAATAATACAGCAGTGTTTACAAAAATAACTATTTTATTTTGTATATTTTCTTACAGTACAAGTGGAAAATGCCCATTGAACTTTTTTAAACAGGGTAGCCTATTTTAGGTCAAGTCTAATTGATCATTTAAAAATGAGTGGAATTCCAAAAATAAACACATATTTAATTAAAAATTGCTTACTATTTTATAATAATAAATTAATAAAAAAAAAATTCTTGGACACAACAAGATCTGTTGACAAATTACTAAATACCGAAAAAATAACTATTTCAAGAATTTGATTGATTCTACTTCTTTTAAATGCTACCACTAATGTCTTAGTTGGTGGTTGTTTAGCTGTTTATTCAGAAATGAATAAAATAAAAGTAAAGTAGAATGCTATAAAAGTAAAGTAGATTGCTACAAAGGTATTAAGGTTATAGTTTTAAAAAATGCATGTTTTTAAATAATGGTTTTAAAAAATAGTTCATATAATTACAAATTGAGCAAAAAAAAATCGTTGATATCGGTTAAGAAATGCCTCTAATATAAAATAATTAAATATTGTTAATTTAAATGGCCGGGAAAACGCTTTCTACCGCGCCTTGCCGCTGTGACGTCACCCGCCGTTCTTCTGGTTGAGTGGAGCCAGACGCGTGTTTATTTTACACAGTTTGCTTTTAAACGCTGTTGAATCCGAGTCAAAATTTTAGTTATTTGGGGTAATTAATACATAATTAGGCCATGAGAAGAGATGAAAAGAAAAACGTTAAATTATCCTATATTTTTACGATTTATTGTTGTGAAGATCATTCTGATGTAAGTTCGTATATTTATGTATATTGTCTTACATAGCTATATGAAATTTGAATGTACAGGGTTATTCATTATATTTTGACACTCACATATAGCCTTAACTGCAAGTTTTAGAAGAAAACATTAAATAAAAAAGTTGCATGGTTTTTGATATACTCTCTTTTAAAATTAATTCTAGATATACAGGGTGTCTCAAAAAAGATGGTCCAGAAAATTGTAGGTATTTTTCGCTTTTCAACTGTCAATATTTCGTAAACATTTGAAGATAGGTATAGGATATTATACATTAAATATATCTAGAATATCTAGAAACTTCCGAAGAATCCAAAAATATATAGGGTGTTTCACTTAAAAAAGTAACTTAATTTTGGCGTTTGCTTATAGGACACCTTGTGTAATATTTTCATTATTGATAAACAATTTATTTCCTATAATTTCTTAAAAAACAATCTTTAAAAATAACAGAGGTAAGGGGGTGTCAATATATAAAAAAAACTTTTTTTTTCACGCTATGCTCTGGAGTTACTTTTACACGTACTAAACAAATATTTTTGTCTCTTTTCACTTCTACATAACCTACAGCATTATCTCCATACGTCTCCCTACCTGATCTGAAATATAAGTTTATAACATTAATATTTATAACTATATAAAAGTTCGTAACAGTATAGGTACCTACTTATACTTAAATATGCCTCAGTACTACAAAGAATAAATGTTACATACCTCTGTTTTTTCCTCGTAATTCAGCACCAATAGATTGGGAATTTGTATTTATAAAAGCAGCCAACATAAAAGCATCGACTTTTGGCAAGTTATCTGATTGTGCTTTTACAAACCCGGAATCTGCCATTACTTAAAAAATGCTCAGAACACACAACACATACAAATAATAACTGCACAAAAAAGCATAAAAAGCTCCTTCAATCAACGCTAAAAGCAACAAAAATGATCCAACAACGCCACCTAAATACGTACATAAACGGATCACGTCTGGCTGCCGCTGGCCATCGCGCGTCGACGAGAACGGCGGGTGACGTCAGACCAATAGAATATCGTTTCAATTCGCGAGGCGTCGTTTGCATTGTCCATGGTATTTTAATGGCCCGTTTTATAAAATTGTGGTACTGCTTTCAAGAAAAATTTTTTTTTTTGCATTTGCATATTTATTCTAATAAATTGAACAGTTTCTGGCGAAAAATAAAATATATGCATCTTCCTCATTTTTAACAGAGGATATTATACTATATTATGTATTATAATTTTGTATTGCAAAACTAATATTTATGCCATGCTCTATATAAAAAAATCATATTTAAAGGCCTTTTTGTATTTTTAAACCTTTTTTTTTCTGGAAAACTATTTTTTGAAAAATATTTATTTTAATGGTCATCAGAAACCAAGATAAAATATAAAATACAAAATACACAGTTAATCTTAAAAAAATATAATATTTTTATTATAAAAGTTTACTTAAGTTTTTGATACTAATATAGTTCCAGCCCCTATACGAAGAAATAATTCTATATATCTGAATATTTTACCAAAATAGAACATATATTTCAAATATAATTCTGTAAAAGCCTTATTGCGGAACTAAATCTATAGAGGCTATTTAAACACAGTTGAATAGCGCACCGTGACATTCCATAAAATAGC